CAGCGGGCCCCCTGCCAGAAAAAGCCACGGGCGGCTGCAGCAGCACAGCAGCCCCAGGCACAGCCGGCAGCAGCCCCGCCGCCATCCCCTGCCCAGGAGCCCACGGTAAGAATCAGCCTGCACTTTGCACACAGAGCAGAAGACGAGCGTGCAGGCAGGGCTGGGGAAGGGCGGGGGAGAGGTGGTAGTGGCTGCAGATGGAGGCCTCTCTGGAGGGCTGAGTTGCTTCCCCAACCTAGTGATTAAAATATTTCATCTTTTCTGATCTATCCAAGAACAGTATGAGGTATTCTGTAGAAGGGAGAGGTTTTTAAAAGCTAATACAGGCTACCAATGAAGAACATTCTTATTTATCCTTCTTATTTATCTGAAATCAGGCTGGCAGAAAGGGCTGTCCATTGCTTCTATCAGTGTCAATATTGAACAGGCAAACACTGAGGTAGGCCTAGAGCTAGGCCCTGTCCCTTCTTCAAGGGGCATTTTGATCCATTGTGCCTTTTCCAGTCTCTAGAGGCTCATATGGGACCCCACATTTACCCTGAGAGGTGTGTTTGTTCTTGGATGATATTACTTGCCACATTATTTAAGTCTACCATCCCCCTGGGCCCCCCGAGCTTCTCAGGGGACATCCAGTCATGTGGGCCATCCTTTCAGTTCCATGACGAGGCATGTCTGGTTTTAGATATTGCTGAGTGTAGCCTTGGAACCTTTCAGATTTACCCCTCCAGTTTCTGCATATTCAGACACATTATGCTTTGGTCTTTATTCTGTACTCAGATCTTTCTGAGCCATGGCGATAGAGCATGGTACAGTGATAGAAGGAGGCATTTTATATACCCAGTCCATAGAGTGTCACAGCTACTCTCTTATTCCCAGGGAAGTCCAACTACTAGACGAGCGAAGGAAAAGTAAGAAACCACCTTTCTGAGGATTGATTTCTAATAGAATTTTGTCGCCCATCTTAAGCCAGAAACCTACATACCTTCAAAAGGAAGCACTGCCATAAATAGATTGTCTTCTTTAAGTCTCAGCTAAGTGTGTGTTCAGTGTCATTTACACTTTGTTTGTGAAGCAACATAGTCTTCCCACAGGTGTGGTAGACAGTTGTAGTGATTCTGTTTTTAGGGTTTTTTTTTTTTTATTATTAATTTTTTTTTAGGTTTTTGGCATAGGGCACATGTGCTCACCAGAGAGAGACAGAGACAGAGAGGGGGGAAGTAAGAAATCACCCCCCAGCAGGGATGGCCACATTGCAGTCCCTTTGTCTCTATTCTCTTCTGGGGATTTTGGGCACATGTGCAATCCTGGTGTGATTTTCAAACTGCCAGGTTTGGGACTCGAACCATGGTCAGCCATGTGGGAATCCAGTGCCTTAATCACTATGCCACCTGCTGACCCCATTGACTCTCTGGTTTTTGTTTGTTTGTTTGTTGTTTGTTTGTTTGTTTGTTTGAGAGAGAGAGAGATTTTTTTGCTATAGGGTGCATATGCTCACCAGAGAGATGGAAAGCGAAAAATCACCCCCCAGGGGAGGTGACCATGCTACAATCCCTTCTCCTTTTTCCTCTATTTTGAGCATACATACACTCACGCATCCAGCATGTTTCAAGTCACAGGGTCCAGAATTCGAACTCTGATTAACAACGTGGAAGTCTAGCACCTTAACCACTATACCACCTGCTGGCTCAAACTCTGTATTTTTAATGAGATAAAATTCCTCTTATTCATGAAAAAAAAAAAAGTTGTCAAAAAATTATTACATGATGTAGCTAGAAAGGATCTTAATTATCCAATCCAGTGCCCTCATTTTGTGAAATAGAAAATGAGGCCCAGACTTGAAGGTGGTTGCTCAAGACCTGCAGATTGACAATAGAAGAGCTAGAGCAAGAACAAAGATCCTGATCCATGTTTGAGAAAAATAAGTACAACTACTCCTCCAGAGCGATGGGATGATATACTGCTACTGACTGTCCTTATGAGGATCCCTTGATGTCCCCTCCTTTAAGAATGAATTGTGAACTTCCTCCATGTTTCCTGGATGTAAAAACATTTTGAGCACTTTGTTCTAGGATGGTTGGTTTAGGGGACCGAGAGGGAATGGGAGCAGACGGTGCTTCAGCCAGGAGCCAACGAGCTTCCAGGCTTCGACCCTTGCCTGTCTCTGCTGACTCTTGGCAGGGTTCGTCCCAAGAAGCCAGTGAGTGAATGTGAAGATTACCCTGCAGCCATCTTGAAGCAGTAACTGGCAAAGGGAAATGGCCCCATGTCCTAGATGTTTATTGCAGTCTTATTAATAATAGCCCAAAGAATGGAAGCAACCTCAATTGTTCAGGAACCTATCTGTGCCAGTCATTAAAAGTGATGGCTATATGGAACCAGCAGTTAGCGTAATGGCTATGTCGCTGGACTCCCACCTAGTCGACCGCGGTTCGTGTCCCGGACCCGGTGGCTTACAACTCACGCCGGGCACGTGTGCGTGCGTGCCCAAGATCCCGAGAGGAGAATGGAGGAGAAGGGATTGCGGCGTGACCATCCCCCTGCGGGGTGATTTCTCGCTTTCTGTCTCTGTCTCTGTCTGTCTGGCGAGTGCACGCGCCCTATAGCGAAAATCTCTCCCCAAAAAAAGTGATGGCTATAAAGTCTGTAAGATAGAATGGAAAAAAATGCTCATGAGGTAGTATTAAAAGAGTTGAGAAATTATGGAAAAAGTATGTACTTGAAAATAAATTAAAATGCAAGACACCGAAGGATAAGAATTATGTTAGAGTGATACAAGTCTCTTCTCTGTATTCTTACATTTCTTGTGATTATACACCTTTTCTAATGACTTATTTTGTGGTGTTAAAAAAAATATCTTCAGCAAAATAGACACCTGAGTCTTCCTTTTTTCTTTTCCTCTTGTGGTCTGTCCCTCCCTCCTCCCCATTTCTAACCTGTCTTTGGATGAGGAGGCATCATGGTGCAGAAAAGGTCCTAACTGGCTGTCCAGAGATAAGGAGTCTGCTCCCAGTTAGCCTCTTGACCTTACATGAATGCTTAACCTCGTGGTCTGTGGTCTCTCATCTTCTCTAAAGTGAAGGAGTCAGAGTCGGTGTTCTCTAAGGTCCTTTTGAAGTCTCACATTCTTTGATTCTAAGTGGAAGTAATACTGTTAGCCTGACAAAGTTGTTGTGAGGAGTAGCTGAACAGGTCGGAACCACATTGGGTGAGCAGATGGCTGCCACAGAGTAAGGTGTCCCTGACAGTTCTGCTCTTCACGGTTCTGCATGGGGGACAGAAGCATGAGGAAGGGATTATGTTCTCCTGGGAGTTTGGGCTCTTCAAAATAGAGTCCCAGAATACTAATTGTCTTATGAAACAAGTCAACCTAGTTCCGCCCTCCAGGCCCAGTGGTCCCTGTCTCTGCTGGCGTCCAGCCAGTTGTTACAGGTACAGCTCTACCCCGAAGGTCGTTGCAGAGCTGCAACTTCGGTCTTCACATACTCTGCTTCTCACCTTAGTTTGATTGACATGAGAACCTTAGATGGTATCATCTAGCCTGCTGGTAAAGTAGCTGGTATACTGACACGTGGGCATAGCCTGCCTGATACAATTTCCAAGTCTGGATGGCAGTATGAGGACAGTCAACATCCCAAGCTATGAGCTTCTGACCCACGTAGCTGGAGGCTCTGAGTTCCCTAAGCTCCTTCACAACCAGCCTTCCTGGACACGGACTGGGAACATAGCTACAGCTTGGAGGAGCAAGTCTAACCTTAGATGAGGGACTGGAGGGAAGAGGTAGCAAAATCCTGGGACATTGACTACTCTAAGGCATTTTATCTCTAGGTTGACAGAATTAAGGAGTGGGGTTAGGTGGCTTCCTTAGCATTCATTTGCTTATTTTCCTTGATGTGACTTATGTGTCAGGACCACTCACATCACAAGGATGGTTCCTCGTGTTTGTTGTTCTGTGGTACTACATTTGACCTGTGTTCTGGAAATGGCCTTCATCTCAAGAGTCCTTGAGTTACTGGCTCAGTCATCATAAAGAGGTTTTTTTCTTCCTTTCTGTTATACTGATTCTTCAATGCCGTTTCCAAACTAAATACTGGAACACGTTAATTCCACTAAACCATTCCTGTGTGTTTTCTTAGATTGCAACAGATAGGATCTTACAGACCCATCCCATCGATAAAGTAAAACAGAAAAGCAAGAATCTCAAAAGGAAAAAGATATATTATGCTATTATTAGAGCATAATAGAATTATATCTGATTCACCCCTGACTATAGTCTCGACCATGACAGAGAATCAGGGATCTCTTCATAGAATAATACATTTTAGCCAGAGGTGTGTCTTCATTGGCTTCTAACTATGTAATAGAAGGACCTACTTCCTGCCCTTTGGAAACATTCTGAATAAGTTCCTGTGTGACCCCAGAAGCAGAAAGTGGTTCTTTAAGATACATTCTAGCACTTTAGAAGCTATTCTAACAGTCTTGGGCTCTGGGCTGAATTACATATGGTTACCCGGCTTATGGCTGATGAAAGTACCAGGCGAATACTGCGTCCGTATTACTCTTGAAGGTACAACTCAGGTTGTTTTTTTCTTTCTGGATATTATTGACAAACTTAGCCATTTGAGTCTCATGTTAGTTCTTATGTGGCATTATTGTTGTTATGCTTACCTGTTTAATTTTTTTTTTTAATAAAACATTTTTCATCTCTTCCTAGCAGATTCAAGCCCCAGTAAGACAACAGCCAAAGGTCCAGACAACTCCACCTCCTGCCGTCCAAGGGCAGAAAGTTGGATCTCTCACTCCTCCATCATCCCCAAAAACCCAACGTGCTGGGCACAGACGGATTCTCAGTGATGTCACCCACAGTGCAGTCTTTGGGGTCCCTGCCAGCAAATCAACCCAGCTGCTCCAGGCAGCTGCAGCTGAGGCCAGTCTCAATAAGTCCAAGTATGTGGGGCTTCCCCTTTGTTTTTGTTTTTTTTTTTAAACCTTCATGAGCAAGGTCTACCCTAGGCCGTTATTGTGAGATTCTATACATAAGTACGTAGATGTGTATGTTGTATATCTAGTAGTGTGTAATGCGTCTGTGTGTTTAATAATAAACTGGGAATTTGCCTATAGTGCATGTACTGTACTAATCTTAAGGTTTTTATTTAGTCCTCTATTTTCATTCTGTCATCCACCCCATATTCCACAGATGTCTGTTGTTTTTTATTTGCTTATTTTTAATTGCCAGAAAATATATGTACTCACCAGAGAAACAGAGAGACTGAAGGAGAGAGGAAGAAAGAGAAAGCACACACACACACACACACACACGCACACACACACACACACCCCACACACACAGCATGGGATGTGGCCATGCCGCAAACCCTTCTCCTTCATCTCTCCATCCTGAAGGAATTTTGGGCACACATGCACATGTGCCTGTTATGTTTTCCAAGCCACCAGGGCCAAGATTTGAACCATGATTGGCCATGTGGGATCCAGCTTTCATGAAGATTCCACTAAGCCATGGAATCAGCCCTACGAAGTTTTGGTTTTTTTTAACTGTTACTGTTACTATATCTGTCCATGCTGAAAATGTTCCACCCCTATAGGGATACCTGAACCTGCTGGTTACATAGCGAGGCCTGTCGTAGTGCACAGGTGGGCTTGCCTCCCTCCATCTCAGGAGCCCCTCATTCATGCCTTTTCCTAGGACTGCTACTCTCCTGCTTACCCACCTAGAAAACACTCATTGCTCTAAGATCCATGTCAGAGCTTACTTTCCTTTGACCTTTCCTCTGGTGTGATGTATCTTTTTTTCAGGACCTTTTTTTTGGGCATGTATCACATGATATTACATTATCATTCATTATTTACATGTCTGGCAGACTTCGCCTGTGAGTACTCCCAGACAAGGGCCATGTCTTCATCAGCCTTTGTAACCCAATGACTGGCTCTCTGTCTGACATAAAGTAGGCCTTGATGAGTATTTGTTGAATCAATGCAATTTCAGACCTCCAGCTTCCTTAGAACCATACACTCTTTTTTTTTTTTTTTTTGAGAGGTTTTCGCTATAGGACGCGTACGCTTGCCAGACAGACAGAGAGAGACAGAGAGACAGAAAGTGAGAAATCACCCCCCAGGGGGGATGGTCACGCCGCAATCCCTTCTCCTCCATTCTCCTCTCGGGATCTTGGGCACACACACACACACACATGCGCCCGGCGTGAGTTTTTAAGCCACCGGGTCCGAGACACGAACCACAGTCGACTACGTGGGAGTCCAGCGACATAGCCATTATGCTAACTGCTGGTCCCAGAACTGTACACTCTTAAGGGAAAAATCTTTAAGTCAAGAGAGACTTCAGAAGGAAATTTGGTAATACTAAGTAGAAGCACAAAATAGTGGTAAATGTCTTTATTTCCCTCTAACTATGATAGTGGCTCTGAATGGTGGTCCTTAATTCTACACATGTCAGATCCTGAGGGTTTGGAAGCAGCCCCAGGAGTCCTCAGTCCAGTCTCCTGCAGTGTTATTGTAGATGTTATGGTGGTCAACACAGGACACACAAGCCTAAGAACAGGCCACCTTGGGATCCTTAACTGGAAAGCCTTATGGACAAGACTGAAAAACTGAGCAAGATATTAAAGAAGTTGTGGGAGGTAGTGACTCATGAAGGAAAGGAGACATTCATTTCACGTGGAAGGGGAGTTGGCAGAAAGTGAACAATTATTGTGAAAAGCCCTTATAGGAACACACCATAGAAAATGATGGCTTGATTCAGAAGAGAATTTGATCCTGAAGCAGAGAGAAAAAAGATTGACCCTTTCTATTTTGTTCAATTTTTATATGTTTCTTTGTTTCGTGGGGGTGGGAACCTACCCAGGTCTGCAACCACCACTCCATCAGGCTCTCCTCGGACCTCCCAACAAAATGTTTATAATCCTTCAGAAGGCTCTACGTGGAATCCTTTCGATGATGACAACTTCTCCAAACTCACAGCTGAAGAACTGCTAAATAAGGATTTTGCCAAGCTGGGGGAAGGTGAGTAGGTTATGTCTTTTATGTGGTTCTGTTTTGTTTTTTTAAATTATTTTGTTAGTTCATTCCATGGCATAGACAGAGACCGAGAGACAGCATCCCCAAGAGGGTCTTGATACTACAATTCATCTCCAGATTCAGTCAGCCTCAGATCATAGGTAAACACATACCCCTAATGTACTCAGGAAGACCTCTGGAGGTGAACTGGCAACCTTCCCACATGGAAGCAATGCTCTGAGCATTGCTTTTTACCATGGCACCACCATCTAGCCCCTTTTGTAAGTCTCAGTTGTAAATTATTCATGCTGAGAAATACTTCAGCATTAGAGTGAAACTTAATTGTAGAAGGGTATGCATAGGGAACTATAGGCTCAGACCTCTACCTCAAAGGCGTAGTGCCAAAGTATGCATACAAATTGATTTTTATTTTTACCAGAACCCTGAAGGCTTTTCATCTTCAGGAACCCCTGACCTGTTCTGGGTATGAGCAAAAAGAATGTGAACCTTAGAGAAGAAGCTTTTAGGAAAGATTCAGCACATTATCATGTTGAGCATGGTTACTCCTAGGATGGGTCCCTCATCATTAGTGGGCTTACTGTCCCTGGACACAGGGACTGCTTGTCCATGAGCAGGTGCTCTCATGGGGACACTGAGTCTTTCACTGTGCTCAGAGTTCTGTTTTACTGTTGACCAACCATAGAAAGGAGAGCAAATAATAGAAGAAGCATTTCTGCCCAAAATATAGTGTACTTTGGAAGGCAGGACAGACACACACACACACTTTGGAAAACAAATACTCCATAGGGAAATTCTATAATTCACAGTTTTAAATATGTCATTCTTGTCCACCAGCAATATAGAATGGAGTATGTGATAGAAGAACAATCAGAATTAAGTGATTGATATGACTTTTGGCCAAGAAAGAGAGGGAGAGAGACAAAATAGATATTCTAGATAGCATCTTGCTGTATTGTGATCCTCCTGCCCAGACTCCCGGTTAGCTAAGATTATAGGCACACAGCAGTGCCCATGTGTTCAGACTGGCCGAGGAACCGTACTCAAGGCCTGCCTTATACCTTTCACCTTCTGAGTGGTGGTGCTACCCATGTGCCACCATAGGCAGGCCAGGATTTAACTTTGAAAACTCAGGGATTTGTTTTGTTTTTTAAGAGAGATTTTTGGTATAGGGTGTGTATACTCATCAGAGAGACAGAAAGCGAGAAATCACCCCTTAGGGAGGATGGCCATGCTGCAGTCCCTTCTCCTTCACTCTCCTTTTGGGATTTGGGGCATACACACACACACATGCCCGGCCTGAGTTTCAAGCTGCTGGATCTGAGACTTGAACCACAGTCGGCCATGTGGGAGTCCAGTGCCATAACCATCACGTCAGCTTCTGGTCCTGAAAACTTGGTTTCATTGGTATCCGTGCCAGTTACTGTTGTGAACTGTAAATGGAAATACCTTCATGACCTATTGAATATTAGTATTTTTGTGCCTAATTAACTAACCCCTAAGCTTTTCATTCTATTTTTAATCATTTCCTGGCTCTCTTCTAACTGCTCAGCTGTCAGCGTTCACATTAAGCTGCTATCATTATGCCTGTCCCTCATAGCTTCTCTCTACTGCCATCTCTAGCACTTCCTTTTCTCATTTGCTTTCCTAAACTGTTTCCAACATGGAAAACAGATCATCAGGCTCATTAGAATTATATAATAGTAAATAGACTTCAACTGAAAGCTGGACGCATTCTGCTCTAAATAATGTCCCTTTATTTTAGGGCTTTAGCTCTGTGCACTTTCTTTTCTGGTACTTTTATATGTATTTATTTAAACTTTTTTTTTTATTGTGGGGAAATAATCAACATCTAGTTTTTTATTAGGCTTTTGTTTTTGTTTTGGTTTTTGGTTTTTTTTTTTTAGTTTAGTTTTTTTTTTTTTTATTGAGTGCATGCACTTGTCAGAGGGGATGGCTGTGCCATAATTCCTTCTCTCCCATTCTCTTCTTGGGACTTTTAGGCATTGCCTACACACATGCCCCACGTGATTTTTCAAGCTGCCAAGTGTGGGACTTGAACTGTGCAGTCAGCTGTGTGATCCAGCACCTTAACCTCCACGCCACCTGCTAGCCCCCATCTGAACCATTTTTAAGTGTACAGTTCATTATTGTTAGGTACATTCACTGTTGTGCAACTGATCTTCAGAATTTTTCATCTTGCAAAGCTGGTTTCTCTTGATTAACAGCTTCTTTCCATTTCTCAGCTGTTCTTGCAGTGATTGCAATGCCTAGACGAGGACCTATGAATAGCCGAGGTGTCGCCCTAATACAGTGAAAGGCGTTGAGTGTATAAGTCAGTTTACAGGGTGTCATTCGCCTCCACCAAGTGTGTGCATCATAGGATTCTGCTAGGATGAACTGAGTGGTGTTTTGTCCCTCCAGGCAAACAACCTGAGAAGCTCGGAGGCTCAGCCGAGAGTTTAATCCCAGGCTTTCAGTCAACTCAAAGTGATGCTTTTGCCACTTCCTCATTTTCTTCTGGAACCGGTTAGTATTGCCAACACCTGTAACGCAGGCTTGCCGTTGTTACTCTCACACTGTCTGCACCCCACTCCGTGCTGTTTTCACACTCTAACATGCCGGTGAATGCCAAACCCTGGTGGTAACTTGGGTTTCCCTTCATTCAAAAGCTCTTCTTTCAAAAAGAATAACTTTGAATTAAGGTGGCGGGATGACCTACAGTATGTGCAGGACTTGTCCTCTCTAGTCCATAGACATGTTCTAATGCAAGTATTTTTCTTACCTTTTTTTTTTTTTATTGCCAAGGGCATATGTGCTCACTTAGGAGAGAGAGAGAAAGCAACCCCCATGGGGCATGGGCACGCCGTAGTCCTTTTTCCTCCATTTCTCCATTCATCGGGATTTAGAGGCGTGCATGCACACATGCCTGGTGTGTTTTCTAGACTGCTGGGGCCATGATTTGAACTGTGGTCAGCCATGTAGGATCTGGTCTGCTACACATAGTACTTAACCACTGTGCTGCAGGGCTGCCCCTTAAACCAATTATTTCTAAATTTGAGAAACATTACTCTGTTAATCTCTTAGAGTTACTTAACTTCTTTTCAATGACTTGAAGAATTCTAAGAAGTAAACATTCTGTCTTATATCTGAGACTACGAAGCTGTGTTTTTGTGTCAGCATCCTTTCAGGGACATGGAGGTTTTTTGTTTTGTTTTGTTTTTTAATTTGCCCTAGGGCGCAGGCGCTAACTGGGGAGAGACAAAGGAATAAGAGGAAAAGAAAAAGTGAGTAAGCATCCTGTAGAGGGATGGCATGCTGGAATCCTTTCTCTTCCAAACTTCTCTTAGAATTTTGAGCACATGTGCCCAGTGTGTTTTTCAAGTCTCCAGGTCGTGGACTTGAACTGCACAGTCAACCATGTGGGATCCAGATGCCTTAATCACCATACCACCTGCTGGCCCATAACGAGGAGTTTTTGTAAGTGAGGCTTTTAAATTTTTTTAAAAAAATTATAAGAGCAGCAAAAGACAAATATCCTTTATTAATAAGATATATATCATATAAAGATAGATTTCCACATTGTTGGAAAATTCATGACATATTTTTTTCTATGCAAAAATACATCATGACTTTTCTGACAACCGAATATATTGAAAAAAATTAAAATCCTTCATATCCCACTAAGAAATAGCACAGGGATACCATCTTGATATCTATTAATGGCATTTAACCTTTCTAGTCACAGATAATCTTTTGAATATAATGATGTTATAGGTTTCCCTCATTAAAATATTTGTGACCACAATTTTGTACAATTTTAGGCCTCAGCTTAAGACTCTGTTATACATCTTTACAGCCATACTTTTAAACTTAATTTTCTTCCTTAATAAATCTGGAACATTTTCCCCACATCAATAAAGAAGCTCCTGAAATACAATTTTTAAAATATGTACACTAAATTCCTTTAAGTGGATAATCCTAATGTATTTTACCAAGTACCTCTTTTTTAATTTTTTTTGTTTTTTGGAGAGGTTTTCGCTATAGGGCACGTGCGCTCGCCAGAAAGACAGAGAGACAGAGAGACAGAAAGCAAGAAATCACCTCCCAGGGGCGATGGCCACGCTGCAATCCCTTCTTCTCTATTCTCCTCTCAGGATCTTGGGCACGCATGCACACGCGCCCGGCGTGAGTTTAAGCCGCCAGGTCCAGGACTCAAATCACGGTCGACTACATGGGAGTCCAGCGACATAGCCATTATGCTAACTGCTGATCCCTTCTGCCTATTTTCTTATAGACGTATTAATTTTTCTAACCTCTTATATTTATTTCTGATTAGAACTTTGGCTGTTATTTCATAATATTTGATGTGTCATGGTCTTATACTCATTGTTTTTGGATTTAAAAGAAATTTTTTTTATCTATTTCTTTATTTTTAGGTTTTTGCCATATGGTGCCTATGCTTGTTGGAGAGACAGAAACAGAGAGAGGGAAAGTGAGAAATCACCACTCGGGGGGAGGGGGGGGTGGCAATACCACAGTCCCTTCTCTTCCATTCTCCTCTCAGGATTTTGGGCACACACACACACACACACACACACACACACACACACCCCTGGTGTGATTTTCAAGCTACTGGGGTCCAGGACTTGAATCACGGTAGGCCGTGGGAGAGTTCAGCACTCCATTTGTACACCACTTCACCTGCTGGCCTCTGTTTCAGGATGTTTTTGTTTTGGGGGATTTTTTTTTTTTTTAAGATTTTTGCTATACGGTGTTTTTAAACTGAAGTTTCAGTTTCTTCTTTAACCAAAAGTTACATAGGTATGTTTTAATTACATCGTGACCACTAAGCCTGTGCTGTCTATGCTATAGGTTATTACTGAAGGGCTTTCTATGGTCTAGTTACTTGCTTTGTAATGTTCAATGGTAATTATTAGTTTTCCTTGTGAGTAAATATTAAGGTATAACATGATTTTTAATGGAAGAATGGTAACATTTATTAAATCATCCCTTTTTATGAATATTTAGGTTGCTAAATTTTGGTTTATATCCTTCACAATTTCTTTAAGATAACATCTAGGAATTAATATGCTAGATCAAAAGGTATATATATTTTACACCTTTTCACACATAGTTTCAAAATGCCCTCCAAGAAGACTATACAAATTTGTTTCCGTCAACAATGAACGAGAATTACTTTCCCTGACATTTCCCCACCAATGCAGCCTAGAAGCTATCAACAGAGGACATTGTTTACTGCTGTTTTCATTTCTTTGGGGATTTGAATTGTTTGTGTACTTTGTCTGCTTTGATGTCATGTGTTTATTATTTTTTCCTTATTGATTTGTATGAGCTCTTCATATATCATGTATTGCAAATGTTTTCCCCAGTTTGCCATTTGTATTCCAGGAGTACAGTCCTGTCGACCCTCTAAACACCCTTTGAATTTGGGATGTTATCCCCTACCCCACTGCGTACAGTTGAGGCAGCTGTGGCACCTCTTTTCCTGGGTCATTTGCTAACAAGTGGCAGAGCTGAGATGTCGATCCTCTGACTTAATGAGTCTCCTCTTGGGCTTTCCACCTCGTAATGAGGCTAATTTAGTGATTATCTTTTCCTAGAAAGTCATTTTAGTAATCTAAGCTAGAGGTTTGTTTTATTATCTTTACAATCTTCTGTCTTTTTCTTTTTTTTTTTTTTTTTAATAATAGAGAGTGCATGCTCATGCATGAGCGAAAAGCAAGACTCTCATTCTGGTCTTATCATACCATGATCCCCTTTCCCCAGCTCCCTACCTCCTCCGGATCCTGGGGCCCCCACAAGTGCACACCCCTGGCAAGTTTTCAGGCCGATCCGGGGATCCGAACAGGTGATTGGCCTCTGTGTTACCACTGTACCAGTGACTGGGCTGCTTCTGTCTTATTCCTTAACTTTTGCGTTTGTCTTTTTGATTTGTATTGCCCTATTTCCTTAGGTTTGTTTGGCAACATCAAGAGGAACACATAGTAAAATTATTTCTAATTCTTTTTATGAAAAACTAACTTTAGGGGCTGGCCTGTTAGTACAGTGGTTAAGCTCTGTGCGTTAGGAGCTGTAGTCCACATGACTGACCACAGTAAGGGTCCTGGCCCTGGTGGCTTGAAAAACATGCCAGGCATGTTTGTGTGACCCAGATCCTGACAGGATGGACAAACAAAGGAAAAGGGATTGTGGTGTGGCCACACCCAATTGGGGAATGCTTTTTCAGTGTCTCTCTCCCCTTCTCCATATCCCTCTTTTTTCTCTTTCTGGAAAGCGCATGCACCCTCTAGCAATAAAATATGTAGATATATACATACATATTTCTTAAACATTTAAGGCTATGAGTTTTTGTCTCAATATAAGTTATTTTCTTTTTTCAGGTTTTCGCCATAGGGCATGTATGCTCACTGGAGAGACAGACAATGAGAAAGAAAGTGAGAACTCACCCCCCCTCGCCCCCCCGGGGGAGTGGCTATGCTGCAGTCCCTTCTCCATTCTCCTCCTGGGATTTTGCACATGCTCACTCACACCACCTGGTATAAATTTCAAGCCCCTGGGTCTGAGACTTGAACTGCAGTCAGCTATGTAGGAGTCCAGTGCCTTGGCCACCATGCTACCTGATGGCTCCCTAGCAGTTATTTTCAAACAGGTGCAGTAGTAGGGAAGAGGCTAATTATAATATCCAGTAAGGTTTTTTCACAGGCACATATTCTTCCATCTTTCCTCCTCCTCTACCTCAGCCTTTGAGAATTGCATTTTCTATTGAGAGTGCTTTCTAATATATGTGATTCTCTCATAAGGGAAAAACTGGAGTTTTATGGAGCTTGAACCATATCTAATATGTCTCATTGGTATTTGGAGTTATTTGGGTATTATGGGCCCCCACATCCCTTTCCCTTCTGCCACGTCTGGACATCAGCACCCTGGTCTGGCCCTGTTGCTGCTGCCTCCTGCTTACCTGGCTGAGCTGGAGGTGGGGGCTCCTGCACACCTGAGGTAGGGTGCACCCCACATGTGCCACCTCCTGCTACACGTCAGGTCTGGGGTGCTCATTCTCACATATTAGGGGCCTCTGGGATGGAGGCTGGTGTTGCCTGTCTTTGAAGCCAGGGTGTGAGAGATGGAACCAGGTTCTGGGGGACTGGGAGGCCTGCTGGTCCACCCAGCAATCCCACCTTTGTCTTCCATATTGTTGTGCATCTCCAACTGCATGTTGTTGGCCCTGGGAGCTGGCACCGGGGCAGCATAGGTGGCTACCATGATAGTGGCAGGGTCTATCCAAGAGACACTGGGCAGGGGACACTGGAGCTGGGCCACCAGGAGGAGGGAAGCTGGGGAAGAAGTGGCTAAGTCAGCCAGCAGCTAGGGGAGACCTGAAATAGGGGCTGGGAGGGGTGGGGTGAGAAACTCACCCATCTCTTTCTAACTACCCACAGACCCCAGATTTTATGATTTTCCTCATACTACAGGCAGAGGTGGAGGGAAATACCAAGAGACAGAGGCAGGCAGCGTCAGAGACAAAATGAGGGAGAGATTAGAGCCAAGTACCCAGACAGCGGCCATCAGTAATGCCCATACATGCCCAGCATGTGGACTGCGCAAGCCCATTTCACAGATGGAAGGCTGAGGCTCAGAGTTGAAGGGGAATGCCCCACATCTGGTGGCCCAGGCCAAGAGTATTAGTGGAAGGGATGCTAGGCCTCGTCTCTTCCAGATTCAACCCGCTCCCACTCAGGTTGAGAAGGAGAGATTCCGCAGGTATTGAGCAAGAGGGAAGAGCAATGTCCAGAGACAGACAAGCAGAAATCTGAAAGGAGATGGGGGGATGTGATTGGGGCGAGGTGGAGGGAGAAGAGAGCAGAGTGCTGGATCTCAGCAGAGCGCTGCAGTTGGGGGTCCTACCTGCAGGACAGCTATGGCAGTAATGAAGATAGAGGTATAGGTGAGTGGGCACTGAGTCTTGTTTTTTACTTTTTTTTTGGAGGTTTTTTACCATAGGGCGTGTGCATTTGCTGGAGAAAAAGACAGAGACAGTGAGAGGGAAAGTAAGAAATCACCCCCCAGGGGGGAATGGCCATGTCAAAATCCTGTTGCCATTCTTCTCCTGGGATCCTGGGCCTGCCTGATACACACCTGACATAATTTTCAAGCCACCGGGTCTGAGGCTCGAACCGTGGTCAAACATGTGGGAGTCGAGCAACCTAACCACTATACCATCTGCTGGCCCTTGGGCACTGAATTTTAAAGCAAAAAAATAGAACCACACACACACACACACACACACACACACACACACACACGCACATGCACATGCACACCAAATGGGCGCATGTGAAACCTGGTGGAAACCGAGTGGACTGTGTAATGGCATTGTGCCTGTGTCAGCGATGATCCACCATAGTTTATGTATCACCATTGGGGGACCAATTGCACACTTCATTAAGCTCTGTGCACACAAACTTCCTGTGAGCCTATAATTATTTTAAGATAAAACTTTTTTTAAAGCCCACATTAAAGAAAAGCAGAATAGGAACCAGCACAGATGACGTAATGGTTACATCGCTGGACTCCCGCGCAGTCAACCACGGTTCCAGTCCTGGACCAAGTGGCTTAGAACTCACTCTGGGCACATGTGTGTGCATGCCCAAAATCCTGAGAGGAGAATGGAGGAGAAGGGATTGCAGTTTGGGCATTCCCCCCTAGGGGTGATTTCTCGCTTTCTGTCTCTCTGTCTCTCTCTGTCTCTCTGTCAAGTGCACACTCCCTTAGCAAAAATCTCACCCCCCAACTTTTTTTTTTTTAAAAAAGAAGAAAAGCAAAGCAAAATAAGATATTAATTAATGAAGGAAAAAACCCTAAATACTGACAAAGGAACCAAGAGCCCTGGGTTCATTCATATCCTCACTCTGTTGGTGTCCATCTGACTAGTCTCTTAACTTTTGACCTTCCTTTTCTTTTCTGAAAAAATAAAAAAGAAAACTGCAATAAAGAATTCTATAATGTCTTGAAGCTCTGATGTTCCATAGGGTGTATAGATTTCCACAGTCTATAACTTGCCAAATACAGAATGAATGTCAGTTGTACGTTAGCTATAGACTAGAAGTTAGGGCTTGTCTACCCTTGAAGTAAGCAAGAAGTCTCTTTCTGCCGCTTTGTGTCTGCTTGTCACTATGTTAGACAGTATGGTGATATTATAGGACTTACTTCTAAAAGACTCCAAGAGGGTAATAGGTACATTGGAAATACAGACCAAGCATTCTTAATCCAAAAATCTAAAATCTGAAATGCTGCAAAATTCAAAAGTTTTTGACTGCTGATTAACTGGAAAATTTCACCTCTGACCTTATGTGATGGGTTGAAGTCGAAATGTAGGCACACAAGACACCATTTATTTAGCTTCTCCAAGGAAATAAAAGACCCTCCCAGCACCCATTTGCTGCAATGGATCTTTTTCATGCATGCCCAGATTCTTCCATGCAATCATGTCTACAAAAAATTTCATGAGAGACCAACAGATGGTGTAGTGGTTACATTGCTGGACTCTCACATAGTCAACCACAGTTCAAGTCCTGGACCTGGTGACTTGAGAACTCACATTGGGCATGTGTGTGTACATGTCCAAGATCCTGAGAGAAGAATGGAGGAGAAGGGATTGCGCCGTGGCAGTCACCTCTCAGGGGTGATTTCTCACTTCCTGTCTTTCTGTCTGTCTTGGTCTGTCTGGTGCGTGCACATGCCCCATAGCAAAAATCTTTCTCAAAAAAAATTATGTTTGGGCTATGTGTATAAAGTGTATATGAAACAAATGAATTTCATGTTTAGAATTAGGTCCCATCCCCAGGATATCTCATTGTATATGTGTAGGTATTCCAGAATCCAAAAAAGTGCATCTGAAACATTTTCTGACCCAAGCATTTCAAATAAGGGATACTCAACCTGTAACTATATGCACATGCTCTTATTTATGCTCCCAAATGTGTATGGACAATAATTCCTGTAGGAATTCTGAAACAGGTCACCTTAGACTGTAGTATCCAAGGGAGAAGTGGAATTTCAGATGCATGCATGCCCAGGTTTGATCATTAATTGCATCTCATAGTATGTCACAAGGACCAGGTTGTATGTCCTGTAGATTCTTTGCTGTTATGCTGGTTGTATCCACTCATCCGCTGTATTCTGCCTCTGAGTTTAGGCTTACCTCTGTAATTTGAGTTGTCGGGTTAATAGGGGTTAAATTCATCTAGATTTATTTGATGTTTTCTGCTTTTCTCTCTTTCTCTCTTTTTTCTTACCTCTCCTTCCCCTCCAACTCCAGCTGAAAAGAGGAAGGGTGGGCAGACTGTGGATTCTAGCCTCCCACTCCTAAGCGTGTCTGATCCTTTCATTCCTCTTCAAGTACCTGATGCACCAGGTAGGTAAACAGAACGGATCTGAGGTTAAGAGCTTGATTCATATGTCCCAGGGCCTCTGGAGAGTTCTGTTTTAAACACTCCATGTGAAGAGTCTGAATTCCGTGCCCTAATAATAGGTGCTGTTGTATATTGTTGCTGCATCTTGGTAAGAGAGTTGAACTTGTCTTGAAACATAGTCCTTTAAAAAGATGGTAAGATCAGTTCAGGTGATGTCACTTATACTTGGTATCATAGCAGTGTTCTTTTTTTTTAACCTTGATTGCATTAATGATAATGTGATGGACCTGTGTATTGGAAAGAACATTAGTTCAATATGATTATAACATGTTGGGGGGCCCTCTAAGTATACAATAAAGATAACAAAATATGAATCATATTTGCAGTGTGAAGATGGCATTGTAGGAGACTTCCTATCTAGTTCTGTTTTTCTCTAGTGTGATGTTACTCTATAATATAAAAGTACATAGTGGAGGCTGACAGGGAACTCAAGGAAGGAGACCTAGGTTCCCCTCCTGCCATTACCTGAGAACTTCTGGACATGGTTCTTTGTCAGTGAAGTTGGACTCCAGGAATCTTGAGTTCCTTTCTGTTGGCCATATCCTGATTTTTTTGAGTAAGCAGTCTAAAAAATAAATGGTGTATTCTGATTGAAACAGTTTTAGAAGCAATAACTGGATGGTTTCCAGTTGGAGTCATGAATGCCAAGTGTTTCCCTCCCTGCTCCATTCTCTATGCTTCTGTTGTCTTTTAGTCTCTTAGAAAAAGCAAATAGATCTGATATCTCAGGAGCAGCTGGTGGTCATTTTGCTTCTGACCCTTTTTCCTTTTTTCCCATTCTTGGCTCTGCTGATTCTTAAACCTTTGAATTGATTGGATCAACTTGATTTTTTAAAAAATCTTTTTTTGGTCCCAAGATGTTTAAGGTACTTGATTGGTTGCCTCAATATTGGAAGTGATTGCGTTGTTTATATCCTGTGTTTACTAAGACAGACTGCAGCTAGGGTATCAAGACAGATTTTGTTTCTAAGGCAATTTCTTCACTCTTCTCATGGTAAGCAAACACTTGCCTTGATCAGGTAGGATTGTGTTACCAGTAAAGCTTGCCAGACCTTGAATGAAGCTCAAATATATCTTCAACCACCACAGAATGATTGCAGAGGGGTTAAAGAAAAGGGAAGGGAGGAATCGAATAGGAGCTCTTTTCTCTTGTGCCTGCCAGTCCCTGGACTCCCTGTCAGTTGTGAGCAAATGCTTGGAAAGGTGTGGGCTGTAAACTCAAGCTGGATTTACTGGCCTCTTCCTTCCTGTTACGGCAGTCCTGGGATCACAGGGGAAAGGTGTTACAGAGACATTTTCCCTTGACACCCCATCAGGTTTTTGCTCTGGTGGTGCCTAGAGTGCCCTGGGCTGCAGAGGCTGAAAGGATGGCCTTTTAGCACAGGGCAGAGGATGAAGGCCCTCAGGCATTTAACTATCCTCTCTCTGGATCAGGGTTGAGGAGCCAGGCACAGACACCAGATGGCTCAGGAATTCGGCTCCAGATTGTGGAGATGAGTTTGGGGGCACCAGGGCCAGCTGGCTACCATCCTGCCTCCTCCATACTTCTCTCATTCTGGTAGATTCCTGCTAATGTTACTGGTATACATTTTAATACTAAAGAAGCCATGAGTGCTCTTGGGTTTTAAAAATGGAAAATCTATTAGAATGAAACATTTTAATAGAAAATTCCAGGAGTGGCTTATTTGCTTTGTGATCTGTCAGACCGTACTCATCTGTTGAAAAGCGTAAATCAGACACATAACTCCTTTTGTTCAATGAGTCCCCATACCACTTAGCATAACATCCAGACCTCTTACTTGACCTACGAGGCCCTACCTGACGTGGTCCTTGGCTACCTGCTAGCCTTAGCTCCTCGCACTGTCTGTCTCCCCAGGTGAAGCTTGTTTCCACCTCAGGGCCTTTGCACCTGCTGGCCCTCTGTCCAGAAAGCCTTTCTTTAAGCTCTTTCTTTGTGTCATTTGACCTTTGGGCCTTAGCTTAAATGCTGTCTTCTCAGAGTGGCCCACGCATGGTCCCCTAGGCACTTTCAACCACCCCCGCTGGCATTTTTCTTCATAGCACTTGTCAGGACATTGGCTTTCCTCACCAGAATATCTGTGTTCCAGGGAGGGCCCTGGTCTGTCTGACCACCAAATCACCATTGACGCAGGCGATGCTTGGTGGCTATTCGCAGACGGGATGGATGGAGGAAATAAAACTCGAGGCTGGAATGGAGGCCTTTTGGTGACCCCATTACCCTCTGTTTCTGTCTCCAGCTCCCAGACACCAGACTGTAGTCTCCATAGTCTCCCTCTGTGCCTCCGCCAACCCCCAGCCCGACCTCCCATCCACTTTTTGAAGGTGAATAACGGAAGGCGCAGCCCACGCTGTCAGGAAGCCACAAACCCTGAGTGGGTTAAAGTAGTGGAAAGAGGGAGCAGATCCTTTGGCTTCATCCTTTCATGGTTCCCTCCAGAACTGGGCCAAGCATATTACATTACGCTGTGTCTTTGATTGTGGTATTCATGTCCATATACAGGCTCTGGCACAACCCGCCGGGTAGCTCCTGCATCAAGGCCCCTATATCCTCCTTAGGATCTTGAGACATTGAATGAGAAGGGGTTCAGGATTCAGTGTCTCTTTGGGACCTGGGCAAACCACACATTTGTTTCACCACCCCACCCCACCCCCCAAAAAGGCAAGCATTTTGTCAGAGCTCCAGCCCACTAGACACCAGGGAGTGTGTCTTACGTACTTGTTCATCTCCCACACTCAGCTTTCCTGATGATAGGGTCACAGAATCAGCCTCCCGGACACCATGCCTCATGACAGAACATTTCGTTTTATGCTTTTAAAGTATTTTCACATAAAACACCCTTTGATCTTAGAGATGTACTGAGAGGTAGGTGGTAGGTAGGTCAAGTGCTGTCCTCGTTTTGGGGAAGCGAGGCCTTAGTGCCGCTCCAGCTGTGTTCACCTGTGCTGACACGTCCTTTTCATGGCCCGCACCCCACCCCCCCCAGCAGTGGAGGCTGCTTTTGTCTTTGGGATAGTTCCCAGTTTAACAAAGCCTTTGACCACTGAGCTAAATTTAAGGTTTAGGGAAACATGAAAATAGATTTAGACTTGTAAGACCCGGGTTCTAGCCATTTAGTATCCAGAGGATTTGTCAGACCATGGGTAGAAGACACTGGATGATGTGGGCTTCTTTTAAGGATTATTTTTATTTTCCCGAGCACTATTAAACAAATTTTCTTAGAAAATCTGGAATATAGAAACAGCTATGAACATTTGTATACTCACGGAGCTGCCAACTGAAGCATGGCTCGTGAGTCTCAAAGTATTTCCTTGGTGCTCAGAGGCTGCCTGTTCACTTATTTTGCCGTCTGTTTGTATGGGGAACAGAGAAGCTATGTGTAGCACCAGCGGTTTTTAACTATGCTTAGGAAAGATTGAAGAATTTTCTCTGAAAATTAAGGAAAAGGTCTGTTAACATTTTTTTAAATTGTGGCAAAATATGTGATGATATATAATGTAATAACATAAAAAAATTACTATTTTATCATGAATGTGGCATTACATATGTTCACATTGTTTCACAACTATCACCACCATCCACACATACAGTATCTTTCATCTTGCAAAACTGAAACTCCATGCCTGTTAAACAAGAACTCACTGTTTTCGCCTCCCCCCAGCCCCTGAAAACTACCGTTTTGCTTGCCATCTCTCTGCATTTACTATTCTAGGTACCTCTGATAAGTGAAATGCAGTTTTTGTTCTTTTGTGACTGACTTATTTAACATAAATTCTTCAAGGTTCATCCATATTGTAACAGATGTACTTTCTGAGGCTGAATAATATTCTCTTGTAGGTACAGACCACATTGTATTTATTTTTCCATTCATTGATGGGCAGAGAGGTTGCTTCCATCTCTGGCTATGGCGATTATACGTTACTGCAATGAACTTGGGTGCATGGATATTTCTTTGTGACTGTACATGCAGTTTGTTCGGGTATATACCCAGAAATGGAACTGACTCATAAGATCATTCTATTTTTAGTTTTCTGAGGACCTGCCATACCATTTTCTGTAGAGGGTGCACCATTTTGCATTCTTATCAGCAGACCACCGGATATGAGGACACTTTTTATATCAACTCTTCAATATCGATCTCTTGACATTAGTGTTCCACAAAACTAAGCAAGGATGCAGTTGCCCATATGTGCTGCTTCCTAGAAATAGAGACTTATTTAAATAAATAAGTAAGTAAGTAAGTAAAAACAAAAACAATAAAACCTGGTTTATGGCACACCATCATCTCTTGAAAAGTTGGACAATAGAAGCTGTGTTTTCTTAGTCGTTTGTTCTCAGGATGGATAGTCCTCTCATAGCTGTTGGCCTGGCTTCTTCCTCCTTTCTTAACTGCTATCTTGTGATACTGAGAAGTCCAAGGTCAGTTATAGTACTCCACGTGTTTCTGCTCCGGAAAATTTATCTTCCTGTAGGTGTGTTGATGCTTCTCCAAAATGAGGACACAGTCATGGCGGCCTAGGTGGGAGGATGCCTCCGTGCAATGGCTGGGGCCACATGGGGGTGCCCAGACATGGTTCTCTGCCCAGTATGAGCAGGTCAAGTGTGATGGTGCACACCTGTCATCCTCAGTGACTGGGAGACTGAGGAAGGAAGGTCCCAATGTGAGACCCTAACAGAAGTACCGGTCTCTCTCATTCTCTCTCTCACAAAAGGCAAAAACATTCTCCAAAATGAACTTGGAATGGGACATGGTGTTGGACTTTGCTTCCAACATACAGATGGTTTAGTGTCAGGTTTTCAATGATAGGAACTATTTAGAGTGACTGGATTTTAAAAACATCCTCTCCCATCACAAGACTTCAGGGCTTATGCACCAAGTCAGACAAGACATAAATTTCCAAAGCCACAAAGCTATAGCAGCCA